CAGGAGTCCAGAAGTGAATAAACATTTTAATGTGGAAAATTTGACCTTATATTCTTATCAGATGTTACTAACATTACATTTTAATTTTAATGTTAATTTCAATTTAAAATACACACACACACACACACACACACACACACACACACACACGTAATAAGTTCGTACTATAATGATGAAAAAGGATTTATTTTACGTAACAAATATTTTTTTTTTAACATAACTTTCTATTGTTTTTCTTTTATATTTTTTCAACGCACTTAAGTCAGTAGTGAGTATTAATTAAATAAACTGGAAATTATATAGTCAAACTTTCATATTAGCATTTCTAGTAATTACGGACTTAATGATCAGCTCTTGTGTATGTTCAATGTTAAAATTTAAACCAGAGTATTTTTCTCGCGAGAAAATAAAGTTATCTCCCTTCGATAAATCACATATAAAAGCGAACTCAAACTAGACGCGGTTTGGCCAATTAGTGTAAAATAAAGAAAAAAACTTTCTTTCTATTAAACACTTCTATCTTCGACGCTAATTTGATTTTCTCTGTTAAATTACAAAGAATTCTACTCGTTTATGTGATTGCAAAACAAAAGTTCAAACGTAATTTCCCAAATAGAAAGATTGGAAAATAAAAACATGGAATTCGTCTAAAAAAGAACGAAACTTCCTTTCGTCTCGATTAAGACGGATTAAAAAAAAATCATAGAAGATTTAACAAATGCGAAAGAAAAGTAGAAAATAAAAAGCTGATGATTTTAAGATGCTGTTTCTATTATTACGCGAACGAAAAGAAATAACAGAACGAGAAGGCACGAGACTTAACGAGAAAATTGCGGTAAGAAAGATTTTTTTTTTTGTACAGAATTCCAAATGCAAACGAAAACAACTGAAACTCTGAGTTGAGAAAATATCATAGAAGGACGGTTAACAAACTTTCCATAGAAACCATTGCTTGTGTAGTGAGTTCGATCCCTACTGGACGACAATCTATTATAAATCTGCCTAACTAACATATATATGTAGGCGACATATATATGTACGTGGGTGCATGTGAGCGTGTGTATGAATAGATATGAACTGATAGATAGAAAGATAGATAGATAGATAGATAGATAGATAGATAGATAGATAGATAGATAGATAGATAGATAGATAGAACCAGGCTGAGATAGATATAAATATACTGAAGAGATATAAATAGACTTAGATAGATAGATAGAACCAGGCTGAGATAGATATAAATAGACTGAAGAGATATAAATAGAATTAGATAGATAGATAGATAGATAGATAGATAGATAGATAGATAGATAGATAGATAGATAGATAGATAGATAGATAGAACCAGGCTGAGATAGATATAAATATACTGAAGAGATATAAATAGACTTAGATAGATAGATAGATAGATAGATAGATAGATAGATAGATAGATAGATAGATAGATAGAACCAGGGTGAGATAGATATAAATATACTGAAGAGATATAAATAGACTTAGATAGATAGATAGATAGATAGATAGATAGATAGATAGAACCAGGATGAGATAGATATAAATATACTGAAGAAATATAAATAGACTTAGATAGATAGATAGATAGATAGATAGATAGATAGATAGATAGATAGATAGATAGATAGATAGTGCGAGATATCAAATAAGCAAAAAAGTGAAATATTTATGAATATAATTAAAACTGTATGAAGAAGGAAAGAAAGCAAATTTGACTAAACTGTAAATCCAGAAAAGATAAGGCAGCCAAGAAAAAAATGAAGAAACAACGGTGAGAGAGGTAATTAGAATGATCAATGCAAACAAAGAGAGAGAGAGTGTGTGTGAGAGAGTGAGAGAGATTAAAACGATGGGGTTAAATTCGTGAACGAAACATGAAAATGGGACGTCGTACTGGATTGGGTATAGGAAACATGAAGTATTGGGTTCAGGAATCGTGAAGTGGGCAGGGCGTGTTCGGCTATGAGAAATATGAAGGCTGGAAAGCGTACGAGACCGGGTCTAGTTTTCGTGAAGGATCAGATACAGGAATCGTGAAAGCGGGAGGGCATACGGAATCGGATATAGGGAAACGGGGGGGGCGTACGATGTCGGATAAATGAAACTCGTGTATGAGTGGCACAGCATCAACACGATTGGCATTATTAGTGCGGTATCCATTGAAAGTAGGTTTTCTACAGGATGGAATTGCTAGCTCTATGCCTAACCAAATTTTAATTCAGCATTGCTCTTCACCCAGTTCGGCTGCGAAGCAAGGCTGAAGACCTAAGTCTACCATAGTATTTAACCCCTATCTGGGGGAAGAAAAGACGGATTCATACCTTTCCCGAAGTTATTTTTCGAAAGTGATTGTTATGATCTTGAAAGGAATTCGTTCTTGGCTCGCCGATTTGTTATTCCTCGCTGTTAACTAGATAGATAGATAGATAGATAGATAGATAGATAGATAGATAGATAGATAGATAGATAAAGAACAGAATTAAATAAATAAAAAACAGAATAGATAGATAGATAGATAGATAGATAGATAGATAGATAGATTAGATCACTTTTAAGACATTTCATCTGAACAATCACGTGCTAAGGTTTAGTTCACCCTATTTACATGCTGACATCTACAACGCCAGTTGAAATCCTACTTTTTATTAAAATAAATATCGATGGTAATCAAATTCGAAAAAGGTATCTCCAAGTTTCTTCATTTCGAATTAAGACGTATTTTTATGCGTATTCCTTGAATAATTCAACAGTCAGAATGTGTAAACATTTCGAAATTCCCGTCATGGATATGACAGTAAACTACATCCACGTCCTGGGTAAGACGATAAACTATGCACGACAGCAAGGCCTCTGATCAGAAGGTTTTGAAGAGTGTGGAACCATCTCTTAATTGATGATGTTCCCAGGTCCACCCTGACCCTGGGGTGGTAGCACCTGTTTGGGTCCCAGCTATGGGCAAATAGTTGACACCCAAACTGGGGTCAAAACACTAAGAAAGTGTAAAAATAGGTTTTAATACATACGAGAAATACTTTGTAAAAAAATATTACCAGCAATGCATCTTTAGAAAAAAAAAGATATTAACAACTATAGTTTATTTTGAAAAAAGATATCACCAGCAATATTTGTCGGTATTAAATAACCCATTGAGGTTGATATGCCGTAAAAGAAACCAAACCAAACCATTTCGAAGTTCAAGAAATAATAAACAATAACTTACTGAATCAGCATAAACGTTCATTTTCATTTTTGACAAGTATTTCGCTATTTTTATTTCTAGTCTTGCTTTTTATTACGCGAGTAACATTTCAATTCTCAAACTGTCATTCTACTGGCGTTAGCGTGCAGCATCTTTCGAGGAATAAAGAAGTAAGCCTAGTATCATACATTTCCAATCTGTGGCGTCTTTGTTTGTTTTCGAGCCATGCTATATCCACGCTGTAGAAATAACACTTTATGAGTTGCAATGAAAATCTTCCTCCGATACAAAGCCACACTTGTCATCCACCCAGTCAAACTCCAACTACAATAATTATGACCTAAAACAATCAGTTTGCCACCCATTTCTGGTATACATGTACAATGGTATTCTTAGTCTGGCACAAGGAGACACAAATGGATAACTTTAAGCACCAAAATGACGCGTTAAATAACGTAACGTTGTTTCCCTTTTTGAAATTTATGCTTCGTCTTCATTCTCTTTTCTCTACACTGCTGTGACTAAACAGCTATGTTTCCGGTGAGGTTGTTTAATCTTAAGAATATTCATTGTTCTATATTGGGCCTATAAACATCAACAAAACAGACTGGTGACGTTGAAGATGGTAATGAGTATTAAAATGGTCATTTTATTAGAAGTGAAATCTACAGCTCTTATTTCAACGTCGAACTCTACAACGATTTCACAAGGTTCGGAAATTTTCTCCCATTTCATCAGGTTCGATAACTTACATCGACTTGACCAGGTTCGAAAATCAACGGATCTTTCACCAAGTTCGAAAATCTACAGGAATTATTTCAGATTCAAATTGTACTTCTATCCTTAAGGACACATGGAACAGTGGATAAAAGCGTTGGTTAGATCCAGTGACAGGACCCAAAGATTTGTGAGTTTAATACCTGGTTAAGGCAGTGGATAACTTGGAGAGGTGAATTAACAGGAGATAACTGATAACTGACATCCATTAGACATGGCACGTGGAACTAGAACAATCTACCCCAGCGAGCGAAATAAAGGGTTCAGTTCAACATTCTAACCATCTGAAGAAGGCCAGAGCGTACAACGGCCGAAACGTTGTGATAAATATGGCAACAAAGATGAGGACAATAGTCCGATTAATGTAAATAGTGTACGTCTATCCTACTAGACGCGAAAATTATTTCAGATATTTCAAAATCTTAACGCAAATTTTCCTTTTCCCACTTTCTAAGTATAATACCGACCCCATTGAAAACGATACTAACCTGTATGTGATGTTTTAACGCCCTGTTCTTTAACGTCGAAAAGGAAAGACACTTTTGTTTTACTTAATGTCTATAATTCTATTTTGTGTTACAAGTGTTTCTCTTTAGAAAACCTAATTTGTAATTATTTCATGAATAATTAGGAACTAAAATCTTTTTTCTTTAATTTTTGCCAGACAGTGCGAGGAAATAATGTCATCAAAATAGCAAAGATAACGATACTAGTAAATGAGGCTACGCGTAGAAACTTGTTTGCGTGACGCTTAATAGGAAACTTTTCCCATCGACAGTGATTTGAAGTCGAAAGGATAGCGACTAAAATCCTCAGACATGCTTAAATCGTAACAGAATTCGCACAGTATTCATTGTATACAACTCAAAATTTCATGAAACGCTATCGATAAATGTACAGCCCATTCGCAAGCATTTAAAATATCGAATCAATAAACAAAAACAGAGCTTTGAGCATTTAATCATCTTCCGACTATTTTGGTGGAGATTGTGAGAGAAGCAACAGATTGTTAAGAAAGTCGATAAAGAAGAAATAAAACATCGATGATCAAACAAGCGGCCAATATCCATTTGAAAAAAAAGAACAGTTTGGCATTAGTCATGGAGTGAGAAACAGCGAAAGAAGGATTAGTTGAAGAGAGAGAGAGAGAGAGAGAGAGAGAGCTGTCAGTGGAGCCAGTGACTGACGTAAAAACCGGACGTTAAAAATCAATAAATCAATAATCGATAGTGATTTTGATACGGCGATCATAGAAAAAAGACACAGAAAAAAATGAGTGAAAATAATTTTGATAATAAAAAGTGCTGTTTCTTTTTTTTTTTTTTCAAATACCCCAAAAGCCAAAGATATAGATGACTGAATTGTTTGATGACAGAATTATTTGATGAGTGCGTCCTATCCACAATAAATGCTTAACAGGAAAATTCGCATTGCGGGTAACTGCTGGAGACCGGAAGTTGAATTAATGCAAATAGGGTATCTCGATAGACTTGCCTTTTTAGAAGTTTAATGATTTGAGGAACCATTAACGTAGAATGTGTCATTGCTTCTATTTTTCTTTTATTTTTAATTCGGTTCCGTTTTCATTTACTTTATGACGACATTTGGGAACGATATTTGGGTTCAACTGATAATATCTGATGCATTTGAATTTTCAAGAAAGAAATTAAATGCGTAAAAGAACATGTTATACAAATTTTCAGAAAATTTCTCTGCAGCAAATGGTATAAAGTGAACAACCAATTACTATTACTCCATGGGGATATTTTTTGAGCGTTCCCAGGCCCGCAAAATGAACTCATGTGCGATTTTCTCTACAATTTGAAGTTCTTGCAATAATTACCGAAAAGTATGAGTTTGATTTTGAAATTGTGTTTTTTACAAGGATGATCACACTGTACAAGGCCCAAGAGCCACTCTAGGTTGACTGTTACAAAATAAGAGACTCAGTTTATGAGGATATGTGGGGAAAATAATGGTTAACCCGAGACATGACCAGATTAAGATTGTGGTGCTCGGGAAAGCATCCACTTAGGAGTCGGTACCACAAAACAGCTGTTTACGAGAAGAATCTACTCGAGTGGAACTTACATCTCACCAACGGAATACGAAGGTAATGGGGGTGGCCTGTGATAATGTGCGTATCACAGCGAGTATTAGCCTTGAATGTTAGAACTGGTGGAAGTAAAGAATGTAGTTTGTCTGGACACTTTCCATGGAAATAGCGACAAAGCAACGAGGGGCTTGTAACGTTTCGTCTGGAGGAAAGGGAAATAATTCATCACCCACAAGGATGCGGAGATGCTTTTAGATTCTATCAAGACTGGAAAATGAAGACTGGGCAGCTCCTGTGTATATATGGGAACACTGTTCGGTTTGGGGTCTGATCTAGCCCCTATAATGACAGAGAATAGAAGGGGGATGCATGAATTTACTGGAGTGGTCCAGGGAATCGACCATTTTTCCAGCATTTTTAGCGATGGATCGTATGCACGAGGTCTGGGTTGCGCATGTCACAAAAAGGTGCTCGCTTGAGAGAACACACTTTCATCGCGATAGGACAAATAGGGTCCACTCGATGATGATGGAATGTCACTCAGGTTTAAAGAAGTTTTGCTAGAGGCTTTTCGTGTCTTCAAAGAAAAAAAGTTTCTAAACATATCGTTGTATTTCAAGCCTCTCGCCTCAGTTACTACAGAATCTGCACCTTCGTTATGATGATATGAAAAAATAGAAAGACCTTAGCGCAATAATAATCACTCTAGACTCGTCATGAGTAAACTGCGGCCCAATGATGCTTTCGGAATTGGCCGTCTAATTTCACGAGGAAAATAACATTTATTAAAAAGTCCTTTGACCTTATTTTGTCCCCACTTGTTCACTCACACACTCTCTCTTTTTCTCAGTCAAAAGGTTGGCTGAACTCTAGTGTCAAAGGGGAATAACTATCACATGCTCGGATCATATATTGAATACATTGATTTTTCAGGTTTAAGTTTAGGTTTATTTTGTTTTATGGCATATCAACACTTCAAGGGGTCATTTAATGTCAACAATTTTTTAAGATAGGTTCGTGTGAATACAATATGTATTCTCTGTAAGAAATCAGTTTGTAGATCAGGATTCATTGACGTATTTTTGCAAAGAGAGTTTTTTCCAAAGTTATATGTATTGCTCATATTTTTTAAAAAAATGCATTACTGATAGTATTTTTTTAGAATTACTGGTAATATTTTTTCAAAAAGTGTATTGCTGGTTTTTTTTGGTTTTTTTTTTTTTTAATGTATTACTGGTAGTATTTTTTTTTTCAAATCGCTGGTAATATTTTTTCAAAAAATTTATTTCTGGTATTTTTTTTTTCAAAAATGTATTACTGGTAGTATTTTTTTCAAATCGCTGGTAATATTTTTTCAAAAAATATATTGCTGACATTTTTTTCAAAAATGAATTACTGGTAGTATTTTTTAAAAATTGATGGTAATATTTTTTCAAAAAATGTATTGCTGGTATTTTTACTATAAAAATCTATTTTAATACTTCCATAGTCGTTTGACCTCAGTTTGGAGGTTAACTATTTGCCCAAGGCTGCGACCCCAACAGGAGATACCACCCCGGGTTCGGGTAGACCTGAGAACAACATCATTTAAGGGGTAGTTCCACGATCTACAAAACTTCCCGACTAGAGACCTTGCTGCCGGATGTAGTCTATCGTCATACCCAGGACGCACTGATTTTTCAAGTATTCATTTCTTTTAACTATTCCGTAATTTATCATCTCAGCAACGTGTGTCAATCACGTTGATATCAATGATGATATTATACCAAGACTTCATTTTTTTATAGAAAAGATTTTTTTAACGAAGAGATAAAAATCAACTTTTCCCTATTTCTATGGCACATTCTTACGCATATGGTCTTCCGTAGTTAAAATTGTTGCGATAACTCCAACGAAAAATTAATGCTTCTCCAAAAAGTTTGCCCATACTTGCTCGACAGCTATCCCCACTTGTTACTTTTGTAGATAATTCTTTCCCGATTGCTTCTATCTTGATCAGACGCTCTCGAAATTCAGCCTTGTGCCAACTCCAACGAAAAAAAGTATGGCCAAAACACAAGTTGAGTTCTCAAGAAATTAAGGCTTGCTGGAGTTTTCGAACTCCATCCAAACAAAAAACAAAAAAAATGTGACTTCCAATATTTTAGAAACCTCCTGCTTCTATCCCGTCTTCCATCCCAAGAAACTCCAAAGAAAACTCGATCGAAAAGTGTTTGCCCCTTCGAACAGAAGACATGTGCGCATGCGCGGGTGTGGGTGTGTGAGTAAACTGATTAAAAGCAACTTCTGCCTAACAACGAACCGTAAGGATTATAGCTGTCAAATTGTGTGTCCGTTGCATATTTCAGTGCTAATACCGTAAGCGTTCAGTCCATGCTAAGGGAGACAACCAAATACACATCAAAGGCAAAAACGGCAGGACGCTGGATTTGCATTTCGTAAAGGAAGAGGATTACAGCCTGACAAAGTAGGGAAAAGAAAGAAACAAAGAGATGAGACACTGAGGGGGAAAATAGACTGAAACGTCGAGGGAGAAAAAAAGGTGGGACAGCAGGGGGGAAGGAGGAGCGGAGGAGGAGGAGGAAGAACAAGAAGAAAAAGAGGAAGAAAAAGAAGGCCGAAGAGAAAATGAAATGGAGAATCTGAGAACGAAATGGCTGAAGTATATTAATTCAAAAGATAAAAGAGAAAGAAACAGTTGTAAGAGAGTTGGAAACAGAAAGATGAGAACTAAAAAGTGATGGTGAAAAAAAAAGTTAGAGAAGTTAGGATACATGTACTGAAGAAATCGATATGAATTGGTTTTCGACTAGACTGAGATGAAAAAGTTATATATATATATATATATATATATATATATATATATATATATATATATATATATATATATATATATATCATAGTAGTTGACAAAATGAATGACAAAATGCAGTCTTAGTAACGCTTTTCATTCTAAGAATGAGCTTCTCCAGACAAAAAAGTTTTTAGTGAATTACTCTAAATCACTCTAAAATATCAGGTTCAAAAACCGATTCTCATCCGGTCACCGAAGTTAAGCGACGTCGGACGTGGTCACTACCAAGATGGGTGACTGCTTAGGAACTCAAGATGCTCTAAGGTTGGATGTGCGGGTGGTGTAATGTTAACAGCGCGGAATGACAAATCGGAGATTCGAGTTTCAATTCCAATCAGGTTCGTTATATTTACTTACGCGCAAATGCTGTTGGTAAAGCTATGAATCCACATCTTCCCCAATCAGCTATGGGTTAAATATTACTACTGACTTGTATCAGAAAATCATTATTATCTCTTATAGATTTATTAATGCAATATGCACTTAAAAAAGAATTATTATTAAAAAAAAACAAATATGTTTCTGCTTTAAATAACCTACTAAACGGCAGTAAAAACAAACAAAAAATCAGTTTCATGTATAAAAAGAGAGAAAATGACTGGGGTTAAAATACAAAAAAACACCGTAACATTAAATAGAGAGAGAGAGATGTTCCCGCCTTTTAATTTAAATCTTGACGCCCAGTGAATGTAGGTGTTATATTATTATTGTTGAGGAAGGGATACATGTTGCATGATAGATAGATAGATAGATAGATAGATAGATAGATAGATAGATAGATAGATAGATACTTTCCATTAGGTACCACCACAGACATTAAAATAAAACACTGAAAAAGTCATTTTAAATGCCTTCTCTGAAATTAAATTTTGATTTTATTTGAAAGATATTATTTTGAAGATTTAATATTTTGGTTTTACTCAACCTAAAGATAATCCGTAAAAAAGAAAAATAATGTTACCTATTTAAATAAGGTTTTAGCCATTTTTAAGACATTGGTACGGTCACTTATTCATTGATTCATGGAATCTCCACTGTAGACGATAAATGAAAACACCAAATTTAAAAATCTCTTAAAAATCAAATATTTGTCCTGGAGATTTATTTCAAAGTAAATTAGTAAATTTAAGGATTAATTAACTGTATTTTGCAGGAGTAATGCTTAATTTTTGTTTAAAACATGGGGAAAATAACGTTTATTTGCGTACCGTATCCCATGAGCTGCCATTTAGGCCATAAAGTAACAAATCTAAAATCTAATATTGTCAGCTCTGACTTCTAAAATTTGCGCGAAAATGTTTTTTCTTTAATTTAAAAAAGAAATACTATCGATCAATAGTACAGCAATCATGAAATTGATATTGTTTATGTGTAAAAATCAATTATCTTTAAATATATATAACCAATGGTTTAGGAATGCAATTTCTATCCTATAAACTTTTATGAAACTTAATAGAATGAATAATTTTATTTTTTTTATGCTGCATTTGAAATTATGAAAAAGAAATTAAGTTAAATTATACTTTTCAGTTCAATTTACTGCTTTTATTTTTTATTCTTTTTTTCGCTGTTTGATGACATCAAATATCTAATTGCAAACAATGAGGTTTTTTTTTAATTATTCTGACGAAATAACGAAATTGATACTAAAACATAAGAAAATTTCATAGAATTATTGAATGAATGGTTCCTACAAAGATAAATTTAACATTCATTGGCCGAGCAACCATTAGTGCTTTCGGTTGAAATTTATAAAATCTTCTTAAAACAATTTTTTAAGAAAACAGATTTTTTTCAAGTCTAGCAGTTGTTATCGATCTTTCCAGTATTGATGGCGGTTTCCTTCCTAACTTTTTACTTGAAGTCATGTGGAATGTCAACATCTTGATTATGTCTTCGAGTTACATGCGCTATTCATTTTAGTTGTTGCCGCTGCTGTGGTAATCATCAAGTGGTGTGGTTTCTGTCATTTGGTGTAATTCTTTCTTTGTGATTCTGTAGCGCCATTCCACAATATTCTGAGAAATATATTCTTTGCTAAGACCCTCAGGCTTCACTCGCCGAAAGACTTTCTCCCCATTGATCTTAGAAAGCGGTTGTATACAGCTGACAGTCTAGATATTTCTGAACGGGTTTGGCTTTATGGATGACATCTATATGAAAGACTTGATCTACCAAGGCTATTTCAGAAACATGACTCGTGTTTTCAGCTTGATGTTTTGGTTTCGTACTAAATTACGATGTTAGTCGAAACTACCTTTGGCGCAGCTGACTTGATCTTCAATTTCTTTTTCTTTTATATTTAATTTGTTATAATTGTTCCATTCGCCGAAGTGTTTAGTATTACTAATTCCACATCCTGAACTATTATGATGCATTCAGTGTAGGTACCATCACTGCTTTCATCCCAATTCCAGATCATAGTTTCTGGTTTGGAGAGGGTCATCTTGAGTCCTATTTCTTGGAACATTTGTTAAAGGATGTTGATTTTCTGTTCAAGATCATTCTTATCCCAACTATGGATACCTATGTCATCAGCATATCCCCGCCTCATCATCAGTTCATCGGGAAAGGAAGCAAGATCGTTGTCTTCTACAGGTAGACTCGGTGGGAATGCGGTATAGAATTTTTATATGGTTAGGAGGGACGGTGGAGTAATGCGTAGCGGTTCGGATTGAGGAATCAGAGAGCCGAGTTCGAATTCCAGTCGAATCCACTGCATTCACTTACATGATAAAGGTATGAATCCTCTTCTTCTCCCCCTAGCTATGGGTAAATAACTGGACATACTGTGTTCTATAGCATTGGGTGACAACTGGCCTACCGCAGAAAGAAATGGCAACCTACTGCGGGAAAAAATCTGCCTCGTCAGTCATGTATCGAAAGATACATGGTCGCCTAAGCGTGTATCACGCATGGCACATAACTGACTGATATGATTAGTACACATATAATCACGTCTCCTTTTGCAAATGCCAGGACATGGTGTAGGAATAAATTAAATAGACTGGGATTCTCATTCACACCTCGTCGTGATGGGGTCTGAAATGTTTCTGTATTGGGGGACACGCCAGACATGTAAGATTCTGTAGATCGATACAGTTCTTCTATTAGATCGATGATGCACCCCAAAGATTCGGACAGTATTAATTGATTACTTTCGCTTTGATTTCATTCAAACTAAATTGCTATAAAAGTATAGACACTTCCAAACATCATGCAAACTTTTTTAAAAAACATTGAAAATGCTACTGGCAGATTTTAAAAAAATAATCAGGGCCATATATATATATATATATATATATATATATATATATATATATATATATATATATATATATATATATATATATATATATATATATATATATATATACAGATCTCAATGAACTGTTCAGTACTTATACAGTGATGAATAAAATTTACATTTGTAAGGTTATTTTATTAGAAAACTGTAAAAAATACATTTTTCAGATCAGTTACAACACATTTTTAATTACTTAATGGCATCCAAGTGTTACCTTTATTTTTATTTTGCCATTATTACAAGCCGAATAAAGAAATTTAATCAATAAAAAATTGCTATCAAATCACGAGCCTGACATTCAAGATATTGTGTTGGGCTTGTCGTTTTTTCTTTTTGTGTTTTGTGTTTTTTTCTGTTTATTTTTCACAGCTGTCTTTCACATAGCAGTCACAACATATTACTATTATTATTTCCTTTTTGATCTTCCATACAAAAAATAATCTAACTGTTGTCAAAATGAAAAAAAATATTTTAAAAATGTTCACACAAAAATGGTGTTAAACTTCAAACTTGTCTTTATATAATAAAAAAAATTCTTGTTACGAATAGCAACGGGATGAATTTCAAAACTGTACAGAAAAAAAATTGCAAGTGATTTAAGAAATATATTCAGTGCAGGTTGTTTATTTTTCAGTCAAATCTTAAATAAAATAAAGTCTTTTATTAAATTATGCAAACACCAAATCTCAATAAATGTACAATTTTGAGTTTTATTGAATTATTTTTTAAAAGGGTCACAACGAGTTTTCCGTATGTTCACATTTGATATTGCATCATTTTTGTACAGGAATAACATCTTCAGGAACGTAAAAAGAATTTTGGGAACACCCACTAAATTTAAAAGCACAAGCGATATTGAAAAGGGTGAAAACTGATAAAAAATATTTCCACATAGTTTTCTCATGTAATAAACTATTTATTCATTAATAAATAAATACTGAAAATTTCGTTCAAATCAGATAATTCATTATTTTTTATAATTTTTTAAATGTGGTAGTGTTTTTTGTTTTCATCTCGGAAAAAAACGCCCCATGATGGTGGCACATACTTTACACAAATCGCCATTTTTTAAATAGTCAAATTATTTGTCGATGCACTAAACTCTTCTCAGTTATGTTTCAAACATTATACTGTGAAAACTTAAGATCAAAAATCATCTAATGAGTATGGCTATGAAATTGTCGATCCAGAATTGTATATAAAAATATATAAAGAGATTGCAATATATATATATATATATATATATATATATATATATATATATATATATATATATATACACGCAATTAGACATAAATCACTTCTACAGATCTATTAATGAGAATACACTAAACAACGCACTAAACATGGCAAAACAATACATATCTATCCCCAAATGAAGAAATAAATATAAATAAACACTGCCAAAAATCGATATAATACCACAAGAAAAAATATGAACAAAAAGGGCAATAATAATAATAACTTTGATGTAACAATAGGTAGCTATGATAGTGCATATGTATGCGAACTCATAGGTATATACATAATCAATAAATTAACAAATATTATTAACAAAAAGATATAGGTCTAAGCAAGGACGACGGTCTATTAATTCTAAGAAATTGCAAATGTAGAACTACATAAAATTAAGAAAAGAAATAATAAAAAAACTTTAAAACACTAGGATTTACAATAGATATAAAACACTACAAAAAATACTAAATTTCTTATACAACATTCAACCTAAACAACAGAATATACAAACCATACAGATAACCAAACAACACAATATACATTAACAAGAATTCTAACCATCCCCAATAAAATAAATAAATTCTAGCAGCCTAAAAATATTTAATGAAATAAAAAAACAACAAAAAAAAAAAACATATGAATCAGCCCTAAGAAACAGCGGATATTCAAACAAAGTAGATTACAAAAACGAAAACAATTAAAACAAAAACAACAGAAAAGAAACATAAGTTGGTTCAACCAACCCTTACAATACAATAAAAACTAAAATAGGGAAAATATTCTTCAAAATAGATGACAAACACTTTCCTAAAAACAGCAAATTATCAATAAAAATACAATCAAAATTAGTTACAGCTGCATGGATAACATGGAGAAAATAATAACTAAGCACAATAAAAAAAATACTCAACAAAACCAATAACAATTACAACAACAACATCCAGCAAAATAAGGCCATCAAATGTAACTACAGAAATAAAGAAAATTGCCCACTTAACAATGTTTAACCAATGACATAATATACAATGCTATTGTAACTAATAACATTAACACAGAGGAAAAAATTGACATAGGTACCACAGAAAAAAATTCAAAAAGAGATATTATTCACACAAAATGTCCTTCGAAAGAAAAAATACACAAACAATACAGCCCTATCAAAATACATATGCAGGCTAAAAGAAAACAATATCCCCCACCGACCTCTTTCGGTGGGGGTACAAACCATCACTGAATTTTTTTTTCCTTTGAATTAATTTAAATTTGAACAATGA